ACAATAAGCAAAAATGTAAAATGTGTCCCAACAACAAGCGTGTAAAAGTGACGAACTTTTAGTGGGATGGAAACTGCCACTTTTCACCAAAAGGCGAAATTGCGAAATTGCGAAGTTGAATCGGATGGCCTTCGGGGGCCAAGTTAAACGATGCTTAAGGCGATTTTTTGTCTCATTCCCCCAGGATCAGCCAGACTTTTCGATGCTCTGGTTTCCGAAACCCCTCGGTTTCGGGTTTGCCAACTGGGCCATGACAAACCGGCATCTCATGTTGACACCTTCCCCGCTTCGGGGAGTGGGGAAGTTGGGACTAAGCCCCAGACAGCGGATTTGTCCATCCGAAAAAAATCAGGGCGCCGCTTGTCTGTTCGTCAATTTGTTAAGGAAATATCGTGCCCTCCAAAAAGAGGGAAAGAGGGGCCCCGCAGCAAAAACGGAAGGTCGGAGAAACTGTCCATGGAGAAAAAAAAACACACAACAAAGAAAAGACCTTTGAGAAACTGTCCTTGGAAAAAAAGAAAAGAAAAGGAGGCCTTTCAATTGCTGCAAGCCACGGGATTCTCAAGGCCAACGACCCGCGATCCGGGGTGCCACCCTCACTAAAAATAAAAACAACTGGTGCCAAAAGAGTCTAAGTTCACACCCACATGTGCCAAATACGTATTTTTGGGCATCGCCCAAAAAAAGAGTCGGCCCCCAAATGGCAGAACAACAAATTCTGGTTGCTCTGCCCCCCCGGAGAAAAAAGGGTCGATCACCTTTTGAGGTTTCACGGGGGCTAGCCGCCATTTGTGAACCCAAAAAGGTCTGGAGATTCGGGCACACCCTTGCGACCATGTAAGTGACCGATTCCTTGAGTATTCAGAATCTGGGAGAAGAAAAAAAATAAAAAATGAAAAACAGAGTATGTGTCATTTTCTGGGGTTCAAACCACCATTCCCTAACTCAGTTGTTCAGTGACCCTGGAAAATATGGGAACCCTTTTTCGGGAAGACCATTTTGAGTGGGGCAGCAACCAAAAAAAGGGAAAAAGGGTGTCACTGAACAACTGAGCTAAGGATTTTTGTCATCTATGTTTGTCAACCATCCTTTTCATGTGGCCTTTAACCCAAGGGTTGCGGTTTGTTAAACTTTTGGAAAGTCACTGACCCACCACCCCCGAAATTCAGAAGTCCGGGATCGACCCGTGGTTTTTGCGGTCCCATTTTGAATTCGAAACCGAAACGGGTTTGTGAGTCAAAATGATGGGACCCCAGAACTGGCGGGTTTTTCCTTTTAGTCTCCACTTAAAACAATACAACAATTACCGCGAAAAAAAGCCATCAGATGTGCGCCACTTAAAATCAAGCAAAAGGGGGGTCCAACCAACCAACCAACCAACCAACCAACCAACCAACCAACCAACCAACCAACCAGCCAGCCAGCCAGCCAGCCAGCCAGCCAGCCAGCCAGCAGGCAGCCAGCCACCTGACAAGCCACCTGACAAGCCACCTGACAAGCCACCTGACCGGGGCTAAGCCCCGGCCGGGGCTGGCTGAAAACAAAAAAACAAACAGCGGTTCCAACCAAAAGGAGACACACCCAACCATAGCTGACCTTTTGGAAAAATTGATATAGCCCTGGCTAATGGGTCACGAAACCACTCTAAACCAGCTTGCCCATCCCCCAACTGCCCCCCCGCGGCAAGCCCATTCTGAGCACTGCGGCCCATGGCAGGCCCCGCCACCTGTGCCAGAACCGGCACTCTCTGCTGCAACCTGGCGCCAAAATTATTCCCACGACTTGCGCAGCTCGGGGCGTTTTCTTGCGCAACGCTTGGGCCCTTTGGACGTGTTGTCATATGCTTTGATGTCATACTTGATGGTTGATGTGTGTTTTATGTGCTGTTGTTGTGACGTGTTTATATGGTTTGAGATGTGTTTTGACGTGCTTTTGGTTTGTTGATGCATTGTTGCGTTTACCGTGAGGACAAACACCGGGTTTGGTCAGCAGGCTAAAGAACCAAATCGATCTAGGAGGAGCCATCATTGCTGCGTGTCGTCCCGCATGATAGGCCACTAGGCAACTGGGTAGGGTTGGATCTTTGACCTTTGGTGGGAAGCATACGAAGCCATTGCGGATGGTTCTAGCTTGCTCAGGGCTGTGGGAAATGACCACTTCTGTGATACAACAAAAAGGGCTTCCCAAAGACTAACCCCCCATATAAAGGGGGAGATTCCCTTGTATCACAGAAGTGGGGAAAAAACCCTTGATCCCACAACCCTGAGCTTGCTAGTTCTCAAGAGGGGGTTCGGGAATGCAACCTGATGTCCTAAAGAAGTCACGAGTTCGCCAAGATGTCCAAGAAGAAAGCCTGGGTGAGTTATAATATTTCACCAGCTTGAAACCAGCTGGTTGGAGGGATGTTCCCCACATAAACCACCATTTGGGGTGAGGTCGTGTGAGGCCAAGAAGAAAGCACACATGTGGGGTGTGTGTGTGTGTGTGCGTGTGTGTGACCACCAGCTTTGCCTTGAGCGGAAAACCATGATTACTTGTGGGGGTTCTCCCAGCTAAGACATGGAGCTTCGTCGCTTGTTCTGTGGTTGGTGATGCTTGTGGTGATATTTTGGGAGGTGGATGTTTTTCGTCAGTCTTCTTAGATGCCAAGTGGATTTCCAGGAATCCGCAGTGGGTCTTCTTGGCAGGGGAGCAAGGAACATGGGGACAAAGGACGAAGACCATGCCGTCACAAATGGCATCCGCCATGGTGTGTGCAAAAAGGTGGACGGGGTTAGTACCAAAAAAAATATCGGACCCTCCAAAAAGGGTTCGGTCTCCTTTTGTTCCCCTAAACCACCCAAAAAAGCGCACCCTCCAAAACAAAAACACACCCATCTGGGGCTGAGCATGACGGTTTCGGCGCCTTACTTTCTGGACGGTGTTCAACTAAATTTGCATGGGTGGCTCTCAAAAGAAACGGGCACCCAAGAAGACCAGCACCATTTTTGGGGGGTCCACGAGTTTTGAGAAGAGAAGGTCACTTCGTTTTGGAGGGGTGAAAAACATGGTGGGAACATGTCGATCATTTGAAGTAAGCTTCCATTTGGTTAAGAGCCCTGGAAAAAATAAAATATGTCCAGTTGTGATGGATTCCCTCTTAAGCAAATGGAAGCAAGGCATGCGAAAAAATGAAATCCAAATGCCCCAGCAAACGTCGCCAATCACTAGCTGGTTGGACCCATCTTGCTCAGGGTACCAGGCTGGAACAGCCCGCCCAAGTTCTCAACATGCCAAAAACTGCTTGAGTCTCGTCTTTGGTTTCCCTTTGAACCAATTCCCAACTGAACAAACCAAACACCTAGCGGACTTCCGGATTGGCTTGTGATACCAAAGTGTAGGTGCTGCTCTTTTTGCTTATCAAAGCACATCTTTTTCCTTTTTTGGCCGCCTTCCCGACTCTTGAAACACATTCAGAGGCGCGTTCCAACGCCTCGTTCCAAGTGCGCAAAAGCCCCACGCCCACTCGCCGAGTGGCCAAGCGTCGATGGTGTCCTGGAGCTCCAGGATGACCTCGAGCATTCTTGGAGCAGTTCGCTCGAAAAAAAGGGGTGTCTGGATCCCAAGGGCTACCCCCGTTTTGTCTTTTGGGAAACGAAAGTGGCAACCAGTTTTTGTTGGTGGGAAACGAAAGTGGTAACCAGCTTTCATAAACATTGACATGTGGCCCTGGGTCAAAAGTCCGTACCCCCAGTGAACATCCCAATCCCCACCAAAATAGGTAAAATGGGTGGTGAATTCACCTACCCCAAAATGGGATCCCATTGGTGTTGACCCACAGCCATGTCTTTGTCTTGTGGTTGGTTTCTCGGAGCCCGTTTTAGGGCTCCTCACGCTGAGGGCTCCTCTTGACGCTAGGAATCGGACCCCCCCCCCCCCCCGGCCTGTTGGTTTTCGTGGTTCCGTTGGATTTCGTTGGGTTTCCCTTTGAAACCATAGAAACAGGATACCCTCAAACGAAGACACCACATGGAAGCCGAAAAGGGGTTCCATGTTCTGCAGAGCAAATGCAAGAGTTTGAATCCACCCCGACTTGGGTATCAACACACACCCGCTACGTGCTATGATGCCTGATGCATGCACTCCTTGCTGGCAATTTCACCAAAGTACAGTGTTGGATCACGGATCCACCCTGAAAGGGAAACAAGAAGGTACTCAACAAGAAGAAGGCCGAGTCTCCCACATTGTGCCGCAGCTTAGATTCTTCTTTGCAGCAAGCACGGCTCTTGCCAACAACATCTCCTGAGTGAATCGTAGGAGAACCCCCTGAGCTCAGACCAACTCCAAGCAAAAAAGCCGCAAAAGGCCCGGCGTGTTGGACAAGTCGTGAGATTGGTCGATGGTAAATGGGCGTGGGTCAAAAAACGGTCACCCAAATGGAGGCCTGCAAGGACTAAAAAACCTGCGGCTTTTTGGGTTAAACTTTGACCCGACCCAAATGAAGATGGAGACAAAGGGAAACCCGTGGAACCCGTCCACTTTTGAAAACCTGCGAAGGCCATGGAACCCATTCGAACTGGCTGTAACCGCAAGAGCTGTCCAAAGAGCCCGTTGCGACACAAGCCAACGGGATCATTTTCGGACATGCGGATCCATGTTCTATGGGCGTCAAACAGGGCCCACCAAAATATTTAGGTTTGTCCTAACCCTGTACCAGTGAACATCCCAATCCCCACCAACATAGGTAAAATGGGTGGTGCACCTACTCCAAAATGGGATCCCATTGGTGTTGACCCACAGCCACATCATTGCAAATGGCACCGACTCATGGCGAACCCTGGCCTCCCTTTTTCCACGGGCAAACTGGACAAAGAAAAAACCTCCGCATCGGAACATCCACTCTTGAGCTTCTTCTTCTTCTTCTTCTTCTTCTTCTTCTTCTTCTTCTTCTTCTGTTCCCTGTTATTTTCTTTGTTTTCCTTTCCGGGCCTTCTATTTTGCGTTTTCCAGCCACCGGGCGCCCGGGCGCCGTCGTGGGGCATCTCCGTGGCCTGCCGCGCCAGGATCTCCAGGAAACCCTGCAGCTGGCACTTCACCCTCGACACCTCGCGCTTCGCGCGGAGCGGCGCTCGGCGGCGTGAGCGTTTTGGCGAGCCGAGCGGTTTGGGGAGCGGGCGGCCGTGGGTTCGCTCCCCGTGTTTTTTTGGTTTCTTCTTTTTCCAGTTTTGAAAAGGGGGGGGCCCGGGGTTCCATGTCTTTTTCGCATTGTTTTGGGAGGGGGGGGGCTGGAAAGGGAGAAGAAGAGCTTTCTGAGATCTGGAGGGAGGGAAGCTATGAATGGCAAGCCCTTGGGGCTAAGAGGAAACGACCCGAGGCTTCAAAAAAAGAAAACAAGGCGAAGCCACCTCGTGTTTTTGGGTAGCGGGGTCCAAACAAGTAGGAAAAACGGCACTCACCTTGTGACTCAAGCCTGTTGAAACAAGTTTTCCGCGTTGGCCATGTGTCTCCAATTTGTTTAGGGGGTCCATATCCTGATTCACAGGAAACCAGGCACATTTCCTCATGAGTCATGAGCTATGGGATTAACATAGTGGACCTAAGACCCAGGCAACGAAATCAATCAAAGAGGCGGATATCTGCACTTGCTCCAGTGTCCTTTTGCTTGCGCTTTTCTTGGAAGTCTCCCACATCCTCAATCTGCCCGAATCGATTTTGAGCAACTGGCTGAGGCTTCCATTTTGCCCCGAGCTCGGAAAGCGACAAGGCCCAGTTTGAGACAGCCCAGTAAACTCTCGAAACAAGGGAGCTGTGGGGAGGGTCCCCACTTCCACCTTCCCGTCAAAAAAGCAGAGTCGCAGACCATCCAATGAACTTGATCTTGCGCTTGACTCTAAGTTGACCATGTGTGTCAGTTCATCTAAAACCATACCACCTCTCTGGGACCATCTTGCCTCTTCATTCTCCCTGGGGTGTTTGGATTGGATCCAACACCTCCTTCCTTCCGCTGACATGGAAGGCCCACGCCACGCCAAAACGCGATCCCCTCGGGCGCCCGGCGTCCAAGGTGAGCAAGGGCTCCGTGGCGATGGAAGCCTCGGCGCGAAGCGCGGAGCGCAGAGGCCCTGGGTGTTATAAGCCAAGCGGTGAAAAAAAAAACCTCGGACTCAAACAAAAACAAAAACAAAAACAAAACAAAAAAAAAACAAAAAACACCTCTGGCTTCTTCTCACTTGAGACCTGGAATCAAAGGTGATGAGCTTTTGCGGCTGGGATTCTGCCGCCGTCGGTAGTTCACTTAGGCCCTTCGGCACGATGTTCGCGCCCTCTGCCTGAATTGAGCGAGCCGCTGTGGGGCGCGATTCGGTCGTTGGAGGCGAAGCGCGCCCGCCTGGCATTCCTTGCGCACGCAGATGCGGCTGAAGTCGTATCGAGGAAGGATGATGTCGTCGAGAAGGTAGCCGTCGACGTCAGCACAGCTGATGAACTTGTAATTACCGACCCGTCCGGTGGCATCTCGCTTTGTAGCAGCAGCAGTGCTCGAGGCTTCCATGGTAGACGCATTCCCAGCGGCCGGACAAGAGCCCAGTGATTCTCATACGCTCAGCAGCGCCGTCATCGCGTGAAAGTCTCGGACATAGGTGCAGGACCGGCATTTGGTGTCGTGGAAGTAAGTATTCAGGTGCTTCATCATTGGGATGGCTGATGTGTACAAGTGGAAATTGCAAACCAAACACGGCAAGTGCATAATTCACACGTTGGAGAAAAGGAATATCCTTTCTTCCGAACTGCAAAGTCAGGTGGACGCAGTCAGTGATCCCAAGAAGGACATCTGCGAGGAAAGGACCGTGCTAGGTTTGCGCTCGCTCGCTTTACCTTCGAGTGAGCTTGTGAACCAATGCAGGCAACTACAGATGTGGGTGGTGTCTTTTTTGAGGCTCGGTACCCTTTTTGCGGTTGGTTGAAAGGAAACCGAAAGGAAAACCACCAGTCTTGGGGGGACCGTTCTTTTGACACACACATACGATGAACTTGTCTCGTCAGGGAAACCCTGAAAGAAAGAATGGGGAGTTTGGATTCAAACCAGCTCCATCTGGCTTCCTTAGAGGGGTGGGAACCCCGTCACTGGCCCGGATACACTGAAAAAAAAACTGGCTTCACGTCCCCTTGACATGGAACTTAAAAGGGCTTTTTGTGGGTCCGATGTGTTGGGCCAAGGGAGAAACGTGAGATTGGTCGGCGTCGCTTTAGTTGTTGGTCTTGGTTTTTGGTTTGGTTTCCCTACGGATTGATGGATTTTGGTCCAAGGGATTTGGCATCACACTCCATTTTGCCCCAAATGTGTTTGGGACCCCCCTAAAGGGGAATAATGTATGAGTAAAACGAGGAAAACACTGCCTCATTTGCCCCTCAAATTCACAGCCCAGGCGGGTTAACTGAAACAGCCAATTCCAGTCGCTGACTTTGACAACCCCCAGAAAAGCCCAACATGACCCCCACTTGGGAGTTGCTTTTGTTGAGGCGGGGGCCTCTTTTTGGAGCTGTCATGGGAAACCGGAGGGAACCCCCACCCATTTGTGGGGTCAATGTTGACCCCGGATCCGAGTAGAACTCCCGTCGTGATAGATTCATAGGGGACTTGCTAGTTGTTGGCAAAGTGATGAACCCCACAAACAGAAAGGAGTCGAATAAAGCCCCAAATCGAACTCAACCAGAGCTTTCCTTCATCCAGGGTTCCCATTTGGGTATGGGTCAAAATTTAACCGCCAGGGAACCTAAGGTTTGACTCCATGTTTCCATTTACCCGGGTTCCTATTTTTGACCCATGTTTCCATGTTGGGTACAATGTAAATGGAAACATGTAGTACCTGTTTCCATGTTTCCAAGTTTTTCCATGCTGTGGGTTCCACGTTGGGTACATCCATTTTTCACCCACAGCCATTTCCCGAATCGAATGAGCCAAACCCCACCCACCCGAGCGAGCGAGCGAGCGCCGCGCGGTGGTCTCCAGCCATTGTGCGGCAATGGCCTCGAAAACGGTCAAGACCGAGTCACCAAAACCGACCAGCAAAGCACAAATACACCTTCTTTGCTGGAGGGGGGTTCCAGGGCTTACTTGTTATATAAATATTATACAGATATATACATATATACTATGTGTATATATATATATATATATTTGTACATATAAATATCCCGACTGGGTTTCCTGTAGGCAAAACGCTGCAAGCGCTATGTGTTTTTTTTCCGGCCCACGATTTTGACTGATGGTGTCTGTCGACTCGGAAACTGGAAGTAGGCGGTTTGCCTTTGGCGCGCCACCAGAAAACCAAATAGATCACACCTGTGGACCACAACTTGGGAAACCTTCGCAAAACTGGACCGCCCTATATATGTTTTACGCTAGGTCCTCCAGTAGAGAGGTTAGAAGTTGGTACCCGATCTTTTTCTCGGTAGTCTATTTTAGTAGGGGAAGCCTCCCAACCAAAAAGGAAAGTGTAAAAGTTGGCACCTAGCTGGGGGACCTAGTTTTTTTGAGCTTTGGGACGTTGCACCAGGGGCCAGAAAAGAAAGCCAAATGGAAAACCAATGGAGCAGAAGGAAACCTCATCCAACGGACCAACAAAAAAATCGCAGCATCTTTTTCGGCTAACCTTCAGACTTGTGAAGGCTGCCAACTGGAAATGGTGAGATTGTTTGATCAAGGAACAAAGCAAGAAAATCGGAGAAACCAAGTTTGGAAGGGGGAGAAAAAAGCAAGAAAAAGCCAGGAAAATGTGATTTTGGAGTAATCAGTGGGCACTGAAAAAGCAAGAGTTGAAGCAAGCCAGAGCCTCAAAAAGCAAGAAAAAAGCAATCGAGTTGTAAAACACAAAGCAAGAAAATTGTGATCAACATTCCAAAAAAGCAAGAACATAATGATCTCCCATTGTGATTTGTAGATTTCCGGGTTTCGAGGGTTGTCCCCTGCGAAAGAAAAAACAGCATAGTGATCTCCCGTTGCGATTTGCAGATTTCTTGGTTGGTTTCGAATGTTGTCGCCTGCCAAAAAGAAAGCAAGAAAATCGTGATTTCCTATTCCAAAAAAGCAAGAAAACAGTGATATCCCGTTGCGATTTGCAGAGTGTAAACACCTGCTTCATCTGCAAATCGACCCAGAACATCAAACAAAGGAAAGCGGTGCTCCACAAAAAAAAAAAACAACCATCAAACAAAGTAAAGCGCTGCTCCACCCAGAGCAAAACAACAAAACAAAAAAACAACAAACACGTTTTTCCCGCTCCAAAACCTGGCTCCACCTCCACCTCCCACCTCGCCACCCACCATCGCCCATTCCATCCCCGTCCCATGGGTCCTTGGGTCCCGGGCCCACAGGTGGTATCGCTTCTGCCAGACCTCCCGGGCCTGCGCCAGGCTCGCAAGTTGTCTCTCTGGTTTCTTGGGGCGGAGACAAAACGAGGCGCTCCCATCTCAAAAGCTCTGGGGTAGAGTCAGTGTCTCGCTTTTGTGGGGGGGGGTGGTAAAACGGGACGAAATACGAGGATTCCATCTGGAAAGTTCTGGGGTAATTAGAGGGAACTTCCCTAAAATCTCGGTAGAGGGAAACCAGAAGCTGATTGATTGTTTGCGTTGAAGGGGGTGAGTTCGGGAGGGATGTTGGTTGGTTGGACCCTGTGGTGGAAAATATGCTGGAGTTGCTAACGGGCTGCCGAATGGGAAAGGCAAAAGATCCACATCTTGGGTGATCTCCACGGGAAATGTCAAATCTATCTGCTACGGTGGATGCTCAGAATGTCCACAACAGGCACCAGTGGGGATGGACAGCGATGTTGCCTGCATCATTGACGTAATCTTGTGGCCAGCCATGGGCCAGCCATGGCGGCTGTTGGCTGCTGTTGGCTGCTGTTGTTGTCCAGCTGCTCATCCTCCATGTTGGCTGCCCAGACAAAGAACTCCTCTGTCCATGCTGGGGCCCGCATTTCGTACTTGGGAAGAGCCTGGATCTTCCGGATAGCAGCGCTCTTGCGAATGCCCTCGCGCCTGGGCGCACTTGTGGTGGGTCTTGCGCGTGAATACTGCTTGATTAATCACAAAATTGTCGCTGGTGCGACCTGGATTTGGGCCATCCACGGCAGGGTCGTCAATCTTGCGCGTGGAGAAACACTCAAGGGGAAATGGCTGGTCATTTCTCCAGGGCTACCTTCCATTTCCATTATTTCCAGTGCGGATCTTTCTAGAAAACCTCCGGAAACCCGGGGAACACGGCGTTTTTGTGTTGTTTTTTTGTTGAAAAGAACGATGAATACAACCCCTACTCAGTTGTTCAGTGACCCTGGGAAAAAAGAGGGAACCCTTTTTGGGCTTGGACCATTTTAGTGGGGCAGCCACCAACAAAAGTTGGAAAAAGAATCGGTACCACTGAACAACTGAGCCTAGAGTTTCCCGAGGCACTTGGGGTGGAACGTATGGCTTGGATGCCTCTGGCCCTTCAAACATTTTTTTTGTGAGCAGGCCCGCCCAAAAATTGAAAAGCGGCCGACGTTTTGGTTGAGCAAAAAGGGAACATGACCATTTGTGGATCCGTGTGTTTGGTCTCGGATCTCTCTGTCCAAATGAAATCTGCAAAAATATTGCAACAACTTCCAAAAGCTGAAAGGGATCAAGTGAAGCACCTTCATGGTGAGCTCGTTGTCCAGGTGAGCTGGCCATAAACTAGGCAGTCACAAAACGGCAGACATGGGAAGAAGGGAAGGGCCCCCAAAACTTCAGGGGCGGGGGTTCATGCGGCAAGCAGCTGGCCCAAACAAAGAGGTGTTGTTTGAACCCAATCCTTCAAAGGTCGACACCCCCCCATTCTTTTCACCCATCCTCTTCGAAAAACATCCTTTTTTCCCTCAGGTGTTGTTGGCCATGTGGTGAAAACGAACTGGATCCCTGGATGAACTCCACGAATTCCACCAATTGTTGCACTCTTAGATCCATGGCCTCCTTGTTCTCTTGGGATGTAGAAAAGCTGGCTCTCTTTTGTGTTTTGCCCTTTTTGGGGTGTTGCTCCAAAGGGAAGCCGTGTGAGGGCCGCAACTTCCCAGAAGACC